TTGGTTAAGATTATCCGATAGAACAGATCTTGGGCTGCATGCTTTTGGGTGAAAATCTAATCCATTTTTTTTTAAATAAAAATTGTGATTTGAAGTGAAATTTTAAAAACTCGAAGTTTACTGGAAAGTAAAAAAGTATTTAAGAAAAATAAATTATAATAATAAAAAGACACTGAAAACACCAGATGATTAGCTGTGCATCATTCAATTGTACTGCAGCCTTTATGACTGGATAAATCATAAACCCATATTGTGATTTCTGTTTTATTGATTATTCGTGCAGCCCTACATAGGTCTCTCATAACACACACGCGCATATAACCTCACGAATGAAGTCATCATTCCATTACCACTGTTAAAGCTGAATGGAAGCGATATTTTAAATATGCTTTATATGTGAGGTTTTTGTATTGATTTGGCAGCTTGTTTGTTTTAATAAGGCTGCTTGAAGGGTTGGAGAACCTGATGATAACTTAAATGATTTCCATGCTATAGAATATGGAGGTGCTCACTGCAGATATTAGTTTTGGTTGGTGCTCTGCCATGATAATGTCACGGGTCGCTACTGTGAGGAGCATGGAACGAGGAGACCAGGAGTACAAAACCAAGGACTTTATATTGCGGGGAATCACACATAGCACAAGGAATGGACATAAACTATTCCGGACTAAGAAACTCAGAACGGGACTCACTATAAATACACAGACACCAATGGGACACACCTGGGAGCAAATTAACTAGTTAAACAAACGCAGCTGGAACCAAATTCATACAACGAGAACAGGAAGGACCAAATAAGGAAAACAGGAACTAAACGGGAACATGCACGTGACAGATAAAGTTCACATTTGATGCTGTATGACTTTGTGTTCAACAAGATGGATGGTCACAAGCCATGCCATTCTGAACATTAATCTTGGTATGGGGGAAAAAAAACAGGCTTCTGAATTTATCAGGACTACAGCTGGTTGCTTTTCATTTAGCAGACACTTTTTATGCAAAACACTTTACAGTGCACTAATTGCAAGGACAATCCCTTTGGCGTTAGTGTAGTGTACTAAATGCTTTACTCTGGAGTAGGGATGCACCGATATGAAAATTTTGGCCGATACCGATAACCGATTATTCTTTATTTTTGAAAGCCGATAACCGATATGTTGGCCGATAAATCTATATCCAAATTGTTATATACTTTTTGAGAGCCTGATTACAAAAAAGGTCTCATCATTAAAAGCCACATCCCAAACACTTCAACATAAGCAGCCTAGTTTGAACGGTGTACGTTTAAAAAATATTTTTACTCTCCCATTACCAAATTTAGTCATAAAAAAGCCTTACAAATAAATAAAATTATGCATAAATAATGCAAACAAGTCACTGGACATCATTACACATGTAAAGAATCAAAATGAATGCGCCACAGATCAATAAAACGGAATAGCCTCTGCACGGACAATAATTAAATGATTTTAATTACTAAACCATATTGTTGATGAAAATAATAAGAGAAAAATACAAGTGGTTGTTGTTATTAATAATATATCAATGATTTTGAAAAAGTAACAAATTAATACCACTGTTTTAAATAGCAGCCATTGAGCTGCAGCTCAAGCTGAAGCTGAAGAGCTGAATGAACACGGTAAACTGAAGCGTTTTGCTGGCAGCTTATTTAACTCAAGGAAATGCATCCTGAGATTAATATTAATACAACATAAACATAATATTACAACTTATATATGTACAAAATGACGCAGTTATTGCATGCTATAGTCAGAATGTGTGATCCTGTTGTGGATGCGCTCTTCCCATAACAACGCGCTGAAACACAGCAACTAAACCCAAAGAATGCACAACGTTTTATTATAATAATGTTCTCATTAGAATGTTATATACACAACATTCCCAATCATAGTTATTAATGTTGTGCACTGCTGTTTGAGCTGCGTGCGCTGAGCTAAAGACGATCACCGGTAAACTGAAGCGCTCTTTTAACTTAACCAAACGCATTCTATATGAGATAAATCAGATATACATCAAATAAACACAATATTACAACGTACAATTGCACAAAAGGCTGCAAACGAACAGCGCACATCTGAAGTGTCTCTGAAGGAAATAATGCATTATTTATCGGCTTTAAGATATCGGCCAAATTTTCTTATCAGGCCGATACCAATAACAGAAAAAATGAGGCGATATGGGCCGATACCGATATGGTGGCCGATATATCGTGCATCCCTAAACTAAACCCAAAGAATTCACAACGTTTTATTATAATAATGTTCTCATTAGAATGTTATATACACGACATTCCCAATCATAGTTATTAATGTTGTGCACTGCTGTTTGAGCTGCGTG